CAGATACGACGTTTCGCGAGGGTTGCAGGGTCTCGTTGTCACCAAATTTTAGAATCTTTCCCCTCTTTTTTGAGACACTTTTGCTTAGCTTCCCCGACAGGCCTGAGTGTGAGGGCTCAGATTTCAGCCACCCCAGGTGGAGAAGACTGCACTGATTTTTATCATCTGTAGGTTCTCACTTTTCTCCCTGGCTGGGACATGTGGTTTTCATTTCTAAGTTCTGCTATCTGCTTCTCAACTTGAACTTGCCTTTGTCTCCTCGTGCTCTGTGACAGGGGAACATGGCTCGACTCCGGCCAGGGGCAGAGGGAAGGAGGAGGAAGAGGTGCTGCTCCTTCACCTTAGCTGCAAGCCCCGGGAAAGCCTGGCTTCCCCTGGGAAGGGCTTCCTCCTTGCCTCCAGTCAAGGCACTGGGATGAAGGCTGGAGAACCCAGGCTTGCTTTGGGTCTAAGTCTCAGTGACTGAGCAGAGGCCACAGAATAAGGACCTGCCTGTCTTCCTCAGTACCGGGCAAGAAAGATGAGCCAGAGCTCTCATCCCCCACTGGTGAACCCCAGGACTGTTTCAAAGGGCAGGTTGCTAGACCCCATCCCGCTCTGTAGGAAGTCTCCATTAGATTTATAGGCATAACCACTCCCTCACTTTACTCTTTTCAACAAAACACGTAGGCTGGGGACCTCATTTTTCCTTCAATCTTATTTTATCATCTCTCCTCTCACGCTCCTGGACAAAGGACCTCCCACCATGCATGCTCAAAGGTCATTTGGAAAGACTCCTCAATCCTGAGTCTCCTCCCACAAACAGATGGACAGGATCTGTAGTCCAAAACAAAACAAGAAAATGCAAAAATCCCCCAGGCCTGCAATAGCTTCAGCTCTAAAGAAACACACTCCCACCCCTCACCCCATCTCAGAAGCTGCATCTGCCCTGAACAGACAGCTTCGGCAGAACAAGGCTCTTGAATACCAGTTCCCTGCACAAACGAACTTAAGAAACCCCTACTATTTCTGCAAGCTCAAATATTTAGAGAGAATTCTGGTGCACTGGTCCCTTTGCAAGAGATGCTAACCTGACACTTCACTGCATATTATTTAACCATTTTAAATGAACAACAAAACAGCAGCAAAATGCACAGACAGAATCTTGGGGGTCACGGGATGAAAGGGAGGTTAATGGTATCTTCCACCAGCTCCTTCTGCTCAAATTCAGGGAAGGCAGTGTTTCAATAGACCAGCTCCATCATGTTTCCCTCAGAAGCCCTAACTCAGCACACTGTCAGAGCAAATCATTCTGCTGCTACAGAAAGTGGCTGGGGTCTGGATTCGGAGTCGAGCTGAAACACCTGAACTCGTATCACCACTGCCTTGAGGTGCCACTTAGAATTTCCACATGGGTAAGAACTCAACCTAAAATTCTCACCATGAAATCAGGATCTCAGAGTAGACCTACGGTTTAGGGACTTTAAAAAAAGAAATCCCAGTGGTTAGGAACACCAAGGGAATAATTCTGAAGACCTGCATCCGTATGGAAGAGTTTTCTGTGATTTGAGGAAGTATAAGGTTGAAAATGACCGAACAGATATTTGGTTTTCAATCGTTCATAACTTTTCTTCAACGAAAAGTGATTAGTGTCAAATGATCATTTTTTCCCTTTTGCAAATCAAGAAATACAAATGCATTTCATATATAATTCCTCATACAATCATTTAGTTCAAAGGGTCAAAATTAGAACATTTAATTTAATTTAATGAGTTGCAAATTATTAAACATTAAATTATACATGAGAAAAAAACAGTGATAAACACAAGATACAAAAACTTTTTTTTCCAGCCACAGTAACAGAGTGTATGTAAGAGAAATAGAAATTTAATAAAAGAGTAATTAGTATTAAATTCAAAACCTCTGAGAAAGCTATTTCTGATTAGAGACTATTATTTACCTCCTAATAGGAAAGTTTAAAAGTCAAATTTTCAAGTTACTTAAATTTTAAAGTTATCTCACCCCCCCTCCCCTGTCTAAAAGAGTTACATACAGGCTTGAATCCAGAAAAATTAAGATTAAAATATAAACAGTAATCACTTTGATTAACTTCAGAAAGAATGATACAATAATTTAGAACAAAATAGAGGAGAGCTGTCGTTTGCTTTGTTTGAGACATTACACAAAGGTACAATTTTTCATTTCTGGAGGGCCCTTCTCTTTCTCTTGAGGAATAAACTAAAATGTAATTCTTTTGATTGAAAGAAGTCTGTAGATGTATCAACCAAATGTAAAAGGACACCAGAACAGAGTTCATATACATGTATATTTCTATGTGCACATGTGTGCATGTGTACATGTGTGTATGTACATACACATGTATCTTCTTTCATTTGCATTTAAGGAAGGAAGGGGGAATGGCAAAGACCTGAGTGACTGGCCAGCGTTAACAGAGCGCCCACCCTCTGCCCCCAGGACGCTTTTTTCCAGCGGGAAACCAGGCCCATCATATTGCTGCTTGGAAACCAGGGCCAATTCCAACTTTTCATAAGCCAAATTCCGGAAGGTGTGACCCCACTTCTGCAGGCAAGTGTATCTGAGAGGGCTCCTCGGGTTACTTACATTCTCTTCTGCTTGTTACAGTCTAAGCAGGTGAAGTTCTTAACAAAATAAAATCACACCACACAGAGAAGAACAGGCCCGGAGAGCCAGGAAGGTGTCATAGACTGAAGGATAGGCCACACATGGTTCACAGTTTAAGAACTGGACACGTCTAAAAATAGATAAGGTGGTTTCTCAAATAATAATAATAATAGCAATAAATAAAGTGAGAAGGAAAAAATGGAGGGAAAAAGAAAAGGGAAATTGGGAGAAAGGAAGGGAGGAAACAAGACACCATTTAGGAAATGCTAGTTGACAATAATCCTTTTCTTAGCGAGAAGGGACAAATGCATAAAAAATGCATAAACTTTGTGCAGGTTAATGCAATATTAGACACAGTAGAATACATAGGCCTCATCATACTTTCGTAATGGCATATAGCTATATAATGTCTCCACGCACTTTTTAAAAATATGCAGATTAATTCAGGATCATTCTAGATAAAAATACATGTTTCTTTTAAGGGGCAGCATAGGGGAGGAGAAAAGTATGACCTAGGGGCGGTTCCCCACAGACATACAAAAATGGAACTCCGTTTTTTGGTAATTCTAGTTGGTGTGGCAGCAAAATTTTCTTAACAAAGTTGGCTGGTTTTGAGAGGGCTATTTTTCAAATATAACCTAACAGCTGCACTTGTTAAAAAAAATTGTAAAAAGTGTATTTTCTTAACCCTCCAATATGCCTATATTGACATTTTCTAAAATAAAATGAAAGCAGAGTTATGAATGGGAAAGGGGCATTCGCTTTAAAGCCAAAGTGAACCCTCTATGGGCCCTCCCACATGAAGGAATACAGACTCTTAAATAAAATAATACTTCCTTAAAAATCTGCCCCCTAACAATTGTTTACATCATAGAAAAATAGCATTTTTTTTTGTAAAAAGAAATATAGTTACTTTGTTAAAATGGTCTATTTTAAACCAGCAATTATTTTTCATATAAAGAATTTCTAAATATCCAAAATTGTAAAAAGTGTATTTTCTTAACCCTCCAATATGCCTATATTGACATTTTCTAAAATAAAATGAAAGCAGAGTTATGAATGGGAAAGGGGCATTCGCTTTAAAGCCAAAGTGAACCCTCTATGGGCCCTCCCACATGAAGGAATACAGACTCTTAAATAAAATAATACTTCCTTAAAAATCTGCCCCCTAACAATTGTTTACATCATAGAAAAATAGCATTTTTTTTTTGTAAAAAGAAATATAGTTACTTTGTTAAAATGGTCTATTTTAAACCAGCAATTATTTTTCATATAAAGAATTTCTAAATATCCATACGGGAAACAAAAATAGATTAATACTGAGTGCAAAGCAGACAATGGCATGTTTGCGAGCGATCAAAGTACTTCATTGCCAGATAAATAATACTCTTAGTATATTACAGTACGAGTTTTCACCTTTTAGGAATTTAAAAGATATTGCTTTTGTTCTCTGACGGCGAGTGACTTATAGGTAAAGCTACTTCCTGCAGCAGAAGGCCAAGTAGATCAGTGTGGGTCACAGACATGCACTCACATTCCCCCACCTGAATGTGCTGGAACACCGGTCCACGGTCCACGTGCACCTCCTCGGTGTGAGGGAGGGCTGTGGGCCACGGGGACACTGAGGGGGACTCGGAACATCTGCAGGCCTTTCAGAATCATCCGCTAGCTCTTCCATGTTTGAACTCTCACACAGCACCAGAGTCACACCTAACCACGGACCAGCTTGGCCACACCCACCATGAAGGGTTCACTAGGAAAACCCTTCCCTAAACACAGGCATTGCATCTTCATGCTGTGACGAGGACGGTTCCCCCGCGCTCCTGCTCTATCTCACAGCTGTTCTGTACAGATGAGCGTCCCCCACGGCAGTGGTGGAGGGTGGTGGGACCAGAGCCGAGGGGACGCAGCAAACTGCGGTGGTCCGGGGCTTGGCCGGCATTTTGTCATACCCTCTCCACTCTGCTAGGGTCATACGAATCTGAGAAGGAAGAAAGAAGAGAACATTAGTGGGATGTTGAATGGGTCTGTTTCTCGTTTCATCTCAGACCATAAATGAGACTCTTAGGAAGCAAAATCCACAAGTGTGTGGAAGCTCGTTTTCAGACGTTCCAAAAATCTTGTTTTCACTAGAGTAGGAACTATTGTTAAAGGGCTGTTTTCAAGGAGGGTGTGTGGTCATTACCCAGACGCAGAGGGAAAATATGAGTGGTTCCATGTTTTCACGGCCTCTTCCTGTTGTTCAGAGTGGAACATGATTAACGTGAGATGCAGTGCTTCTAACCGGCGTGGCGTGCTCGGTGGGTAAGCTAGGTTTCTTTTTTTTCCCTCCTTTCTTCCTTCCTTTCCTTTTTCTTGTGTTCTCTACTTCCTCCCTCTTCCTCTTTTCTTTCTCCCACTCCTCCTCTCTCCCTACTCCCCTCCCTCTCTTTTTGAGAATTACAACCATAATGAAAGCTTGCTTTGCAGGCACTTCTCTGTGACCAAATGCAGACCCTTGAAGGCTAGGGGGTCCTGAAATCCTGACTGCGTGGCTGGCATGGAGGGGCCTCCTGTCTCCAACAGCCACATGCCAGGGACAGGCCCAGGGCTGGCGGCTTACCTGGCAGCTCAAGTCTCTGAGGGCCTTCACTTACAGGTGTGTGTGTGTGTGTGTGTGTGTGTGTGTGTGTGTGTATGTGTGTGTATGAGAGAGAGAGAGAGCGAGACTGGGCTGCCATAGCAATTCATCCTGCCAGCACCAGAAAATCCTAACTGTGTCCACATGTCCAGGATTTCCAGAACAGGACACCATGTGAAAGAGGGCTAACCCTGATGTGGCGGCTGGCGCTAAGCCTGACAACCTCCGATCCATACAGCAGTGCCTTGCAGTCAGAACATCCGGCCGTGCCTTCTTAATGTCTTCAGAGAAGATGCATTTAAAAATCGGAAAGGGGTACAGCCATTATGAAAAATATTAGAGGTTCCTAGAAAAATGAAAAATAGAACTAGTAGGCTGGCCTCATAGCCTAGTGGTTAAGGAAGCTGGATCCCACATGACCGGCTACGGTTCAAATCACAGCCCTGGCAGCTTGGAAGGCAAGCCAAGTGTGCATGTGTGTATGCAACTTCCAACGGGATGGAGAAATGAAAGGGGAGGAACTGTGGCATGATCACACCCATTGGGGCTTCCTTCTGCTTCTCTCTGGCGAGTGCATGTACCCTTTGGCAATTAAAAAACAAAAACAAAAACTAAACACTAAAATTACAACTAGCATGTCACCCAGCAATCCTTCTACTGGATATACAAGGAGATGTCGAAAAGTTCACGCAGAAATGGAACTAAAAGTTCATGCAGAAATGGAACTAAAGTACAAATTTTATTTTGGTGTAAAATATTTCAAAATCCATACCCAGTTTTTTTTTTTTTTTAATTTTTTTGCTGTAGGGCACATGTGCTCGCCAGAAAGCCAGAGAAAGACAGAGAGACAGAAAGTAAGAAGTCACCCCCCCTAGGGGGGATGGCCGCACCGCAATCCCTTCTCCTCTATTCTCCTCTCGGGATCTTGGGCACACAAGCACACATGCTTGGCATGAGTTTAAGCCACTGGATCTGGGATTCAAACCACAATCAACTACATGGGAGTCCAGTGACATAGCCATTATGCCAACTGCTGGTCCCCCACACACAGTTTTTTCAAAATATTCCTTTTTTCTATGAACTTTTTAAAGACCCCTCATATATAAAAAGGAAATTAAATAAGAATCTTGAAGAGCTATCTGCACCCCCCCCCCATCCACTGCGGCACTATTCACAATAGCCAAGATATGAAAACAACCTAAATGTTCATCCATGAATAAATAAACTGCATACATATTAGAAAATAGTATTCAGCCTTAAAAAACACAAACTAAGTGAGGTGATGGCTCCATTAATTAGCTTGACTGTGGTATTCATTTCCCAGGGTATGTGCATATCAAAACATCAAATTCCATAGACATGGGGCACTGAACAGCTCACCTCAGCGCCAGGTACCTTGAGAACCTCTGCTGAATGTACCTGCATCCCACAGCCCCCTGTGGACGGGAAGGTCCCAAGCCCAGGGAGCGTCCCACAGCCCCCCATGGACGGGAAGGCTTCGAGCCCAGAGAGCCAGGCAAGGAATTCTGTAGGACAACGGCCCCTTTCTTCAGCTCATAGATGGTCTCATTCCAATACAAATACACTGTGGGCCACGTAATGTTATTTTAATTTGCTAGTAGCCACATTAAAACACATAAAAGAAATTAATTTTAATTAGATAATATATTGCACCAAATAAATCCAAAATAGTATTTCTACGTGTCACCACGATCTAAAACTCATCGGGACATCTTAGATTCCGTTTTTGTACTAAGTCTTTGAAATCTGGTGTGAATTTCACACGGACAGCGCATCTCAGTTTGGGTGCACTGCGAGCGGGTCTCCAGGAGCCTCACGTAACAAGGGGCTACTGTATCGGACAGCAGGGGTCTAGGGGCTAGGGTGGGACCCAGAGTGTTCAGAACCCGAGTTCGTGGACGGGCAGATGGCATAGCGGTTACATCACTGGACCCCCACGTGGTTGAGTGCAGGTCAAGTCCCAGACCTGGTGGCTTGAAAATCACGCCAGATCCGTGTGCATGTGTATTCAAGATCCTGGGAGGAGAATGGAAGAGAGGGGATTGCAGCATGGCCATCCCCCCGGGGGGTGATTTCTCACTCTTTCTCTATTTCTGTCTCTCTGGTGAGCACATGCACCCTAAGACAAAAACCTCTACCAAAAAAAGAACCCTGGTTCCTCTGGGCCCTATGTCTGCTGATGACAATTAACTAAGGCCTACCCTGGTGAGCAGCTCAGGTATCTGAAGCTCCTGTCTGTGAAGATGTGCTAACATCCCGCCTTCTAATGGCGTTACTTGGCATCATGAAACCTTCCCAGATGTCCCCCGCTTTGGGCCTGAAGCAGACAGTCTGTCCTCGCTCTGCCCCGTACTCACGGTAACCAGAGTACACGAGACTGATGGAGCTGGCAGGGTCTGCAAACCAGGGAGTCCTCTGACTGGCTTCTGCCCTGGAACACAAGCCTCTCCCAACGGGCTGGGAGAGGATTCTCTGAGTGACTCGAATTAGTTGTTGAGCTGCTGACTCCTTTAAGCCCAAGCCAAAAAAGACCGCTAAGAAAAGTTAACTGAAATGACATCTTTCATCCGGAATAAGGGCGTGTTGTATGATGGTTGCTATAATACGACACAGACAGCAGGGTTCTGGAAGGGTGTGCGTGGGAGGCAGGGAGGCGTGCCCCGATTCACATGGCATATGATCTTGTTTAACAGTGCAGGACAGAATCTGAATTTAAGTGGGCTGTGAATTTAGGAGCAAAGAAGTGACCCCTCCACACTGGGGTCACAGGGGCAGGGGTGGGGAGGGGATAAACGTGAGGTTTCATTTTTTTTTTTTGAGAGATTTTTGCTATACGGTGTGTGAGTTCAACAGAGAGACAACAGAGAAACAGTGAGAGAGAAATCAAGAAATCACCTCTCTCCGGGGGTGTGACCACATTGCAATCCCTTTTCTGCCCTTCTCCTCCAGGGATGTTGGGCATGCATGTACACACACCCAGCGTTGAGTTTCAAGCCTCCAGGTCCAGGACTCAAACCATGGTTGGGCATGTGGGAGTCCAGCGCCTTAACTACGATGCCACCTGCTGGCTCCAAGGATTCTCACATATAAACTGGTAAGATGCATCTAAAGGAAACCCAGTCTGAGAGATCATCAGCTACATAGCAACAAGGTTGTAGTCTCACCCGCGGAGCAACGGTGAATAGTGGAGTGAATATATGTCAGTTTCACTGGTTGTCATGCGACCCTGTTCCTCCTCAAACAACTGGTTTTGCATATCGAAGCCCACTGGTTCTCACATGAAAGGCCCAAAGGCCGTCTGAGCCACACACATGCAGGAAACCATCCCTAACGGGGCCCTGCTTGCCAATGACTTGAGAATGCCAGAAGTAGCTGTCCACTGAGCAGCTCTTTCTCTGCAGATGTGGGGCCATTATATTGTGCATTAATAAATGCATTGGATGGAGAGGGGAAAGATAATAAACATTTCTACTTGTTAGTAACTATGGTTCAAAAGTGTCACAGGGGAGCTATTTTTAATGGCTGGCTGAAATGAAAAGTTTGGATTATCTGAGTGTTTTCAGATACCCACTGGACCCTGTTTGCATGCCAAATGGTCAAGCTGAAAAACTGCGGGGCTGTTTTATTGAAGTAGAAATTATATTTACAAAATCCTCTTGAAAATGGACATCCGTGCACTGACGTAGGTATACTTACAAATGGAGAAAGGATTATGGCATGACCACACCCCACAGGAAGGTGTTTTCTTGCTCTCCCCTGTCTCTCTGTCTCTGTCTCCCTCTGATGAGTATATGTGTCCCCTGGGAAATTAAAAAAAAAAACACCTTAGGGGCCAGCAGGTGGCGTAGCGGTCACATCACTGGACTCTCACCCAGCCAACCACTGTTCGAGTCTCAGACCCAGTGGTCTGAAACTCATGCCAGGCGTGTGTGTGTGTGTGCGTGTGTGCCCAAGATCCCAGGAGGAGAATGGAGGAGAAGGGATAGAGGTGTGGCCATTCCCCTGGGGAGGTGATTTATTACTCTCCCTCTCTCCCTGTCTCTGTCTCTCTCTTTCTGGCAAGTGCACATGCGTTACGGCAAAAACCTTTACAAAAACAATTTACAAACTGATGTCTTATTATAGGATTTTTCTTATTTTAAAAATCTTTAAAATCCTCAGCAATTTTAATTCTTTTACTTTTGCCTACTAAACCTTCGCTGCATAAAGGACATGATAATGAAAAGAAAAAAAATGGAGGGAGGTAGAAAAATTCTAGAAGGTGCAAATGCGAGAGAGCATCAGAGGGTGGGTGGTTTACGGCAGCAGCCTGGAACATCTTTGCTCCTTAGGTTGGTAAAGGGCAGGGGGTTATCTGGGCGAATGCTGTTACACCAGGGGTGACCTCTGTGATCTCCAACCACATTTACTGAAGTGCTACACCAACCCTGGAATCCTTCTATTGACTTAGCTGTTCACATTAAAAGGCCCCAACAATTGCTTATGTAGGTCACTTCACACTGCCATTTACCTAAATAATTTCTACAAAGACCTAAAGTTTTAAAATATACTACAAGATAGTGATTTTTTGGGGAAAGCTTTTAGATAATTCTTTGCAAATGAACCTTTTGATAAAACAGCTCATGGGGCCGGCTTTATCTTTCCTGAGTACGCAGGTTTACAACATTCACCCTGGTACTTTCCACAACCTAAGGGCTCCAACTGCCACCGAGCCCTGGCCCCTGCCTCACGCCCCACCTGGGCCCCAGAAGTCCTGCTCAGCCGTCCTCCTCTGCCTCTGTGTTGCTGGGTGCCCGTTTTCTTCCTGGGAGATGATGCTCTTGGAGACAGGGAGCAGGTGGCCTGGTCTCCGAGCCCAGTCCCTGCCGTTCAGGGACACGAATGCCTCTGGTGGCCCAGCCTGACCCCTGGTGACCTTCAGCTCCTCGGTCTCCTCAGTGGAGTCGGGGGTCTTGGAGCTCAGGAACCTCATCCGGGACACCGACGTCACCTCTTTCATTCTCATCAGGCGGTCAGGGTCTGCCCTCCTCGGGGGGGAAGCCAGTTTCTCTTGTAAACTTTCGATCACTTTGGAAGGACTTCTTAGCTTCTTTTCTGGACCCGACACGCTTGGGGTCCTTTCTATAACGTGGAACAGGGTGGACCTGAATGACGGCCTTGCCTCCTCGTCCTTGGGATCAAAGGTCTTAAGCTCCCCAGGGTCGGGCTGAGGCTCAGGGCTGGGGGCTCTGAGCCCATCCACACCCATGTGCTCAGAGGCCTGAGGGGCCCTCCTGGCGCCGTCCCTCTCCCCGACAAAGAGAGGGCTCTGGGTCCAACCGCACTTCCTCCTGCCGTAAAAGGCGTCGGCAGGTGCCGGGGGGCCACCTGCTGGTGCTGGGCTGACTGGCAGCTCCTCCATGCAGGGCCCTGGGCTGCAGGTGTTGGTGTTGGTGACAGGCTCAGGGAGCTGGCTCTGTCCCTCTTTCCTGGCTCCTGGCAGAAGGGACTCCATTGCCACCTCAATGCCGAGGATCCTGGCAGCCCTCGCTTGCAGGGACTCACTTGGGGGGGCTGCTACGGCCCTTGCTTCCCCCAGAGTCCCGTCCAACCCCGGGGTCTCCTGTTCTTGTCCCGCGGGAAGCCCCAGAGACCGTAAATCTGGTGCTGAGAGGCCTCGGCTTTTGTCGGTAAAGGACAGTGGGACTGCAGTGCCCCTCTCCTCACCGTCAGCAGTCCGAGGGAGCATGTGGCTTGGCCTCGTGGAACTTACAGCACTGGTGAATTCCCAGCTGTCTTGTGGCTCCCTTGGTTCAGCCAGATAGGACAGGAGGCTGGGCTTCGTGTCACTGGACCTTGAAGACACCCTGCCTTTCTCAGGACCCGGGCTGAGCGCTAGTCTGCTCTCTCCACTTCCGTCCTCCCGGCGTCTCTCCTCTGTGGCCGGGCTCCAGCCTACTGACTGCCAAGGCTCCCCTCTGCCATCTCCCCCCTGCGTGGGGCCCGAGGACTGAGGCTGGGCATGCGGGAGGCCGGGCTTTGGCTCCCCACTCCAGCTCTCAGGCTTGCTCTGAACTCTTCCCAGCCACGCAGGGTCCTCCGGCACCAACATCCTCGGTTCCTGCTCGACTCTCACTTCCTGGCCGTGCCTGTGGAAGCCTGAACTCTCTGGTCTGGGGTCGGCCGGGTCTTCCTGCAGCCACTCAGCTTCGCTGTCCTCGCTGCTACTGTGGCTGTCTTCCTCCTCCTCCTCCTCCTGCAGTTCCTTGTTAAAACTCTCTAGCTGACTTATCAGGTCCCATGGTCGACGACTGACGGGTTTCAGGAGAAACTGCCCAAAGAGCTGCTGGCTGTTGCAGGGACCCGTGGGTTCCCCCTTCACCACCTCCCGCTGGGGCCCGGGGCTGGCCGCAGGCACACGCACGTCTGCACAGGGCTCCCGTGGGCACGCCTTTGACACAGGCGCCTGATTGACGGACCAGGAAGTCCTTGAGAAAGCACTGTTGCTGGACGGGCTGAGGGACGTCTGGCCCTGTGGGCTGGGAGCACTGGGCTTCTGTTTTTGGTCCCTGGAAGCAAGTGCGGTGTGCACATGTGGCTCGAAGGCGGCCGGCTCTGGGCACTTCGCACCTGGCGTAGAGGGACTCGGCCCTCTGTGCTCAGCGCCAGGGGGCAGCTGCGTGCCCTGGGATTCTTCGGGGAAACTGGTTTGTGTCTGCTGGTCTCTGTACTGGTGCCCCGGCCAAAAGCCGGAAGCCTGGAGTTCTCTGTGTTTTGTGAGGTGGATGAATCTGAGGTCATTTGTTTGTTTGTGGACTTCTGGTTCCCCCAGATCTTGTTTTCGGAACCCTGTTCCCCCAACCATGCTTCCTGTGAGCGCCTGCAGTTCCAGGTCGGTGGACGAGAGGCTCAGCAGACTCTGTTCCTGCAGGGCCGCGCTCTTATCGCAGCCGTCCTTCCTATCGGCAGTCGGTTTTAAGTCATTGTTGTTCGTATCTGTAGCTGGCAGATGTGATTCAGATTTCACTGGGATGGAGACCAAACAAAATATAGTCTCGCTTGTTTTCTTCTTTGAACTTTTCTTGGTCTGCATCCCAGTTTCAAACGTTCTGAGCTTGGTCTGCATTTCGCAGGTCCGCTCGCCCGGTGCATCTGGGGAGGAGAGCTGGCCTTCCGCATGGCCGTGCTGGCTCCCTCTCACGACACGGAGGTCGCTTTGCTCAGGGAAGCCATCTTCTCCATCCCTGGGCAGATGGCCCCGCAGCCACCGGGGGCTGAGCTGAGCAGAGGTGGCCCCCCTCTCATAGCCGGTCTGCGGAGACAGGACAGCACCATCACGGAGCACCTCCCCAGGCGCTGGCTCCTGGGGAGGGATGAGATCAGAGCTCCACAGCTTAGGGCCGAGCTTCGCTTCTTCGTAGAAACCCTGGGGCTGAGCGAGTTTAATGTGCCGGATCCGGGGGTCATCGAATGGGATGTACTGCACAGAGCCCTCGAAGGCAGCGGCGAGGCGGGGGTGTGGAGGGAGCCCTCGCGGAGAGCGTGGCCCGGCCCCATATTCAGTCCCGGTTCCCAGGGGGCCAGGAGGAAGCGGGCAGCCAGCCCCGGCCTTCTCGGCTGCGTGCTGTGGCTGTCCGTGACTACCGTGCGCGTGTCTGGGTGCCGTATCCTCCAGGTAGGGGTTCGGGATGTGCTGGGGGGGTGACCTGTACGACGGCGGGGGCACGTAAACCGGAGGCTCCAAACCAGAGTCCGACGCGCAGAGCTCATGCCTGGGGTCCTGAGCAGTGGTGGAACCGGAAACGGACAGGTCTGTCTGCAGGCTGTCCTGGGAGGCGCTGCTCTCTACTCCTCTGGACTGGTGGGAGCCGAAAGATGCAGGCTTGAGGGGTCTTCCGAACTTAGGTCGGGGTCCAGGGCCTGCGGAGCCACCCTTGTCAGGATTCCTGGTGGATTCCAAACTCGGGGCACAATTCGGGGGATATGGGGGCATTTTAGAGACGCCTGGGAGGTGTCCATCGCCCATGGAAATGGGGATTTCCGTGCAGCTGAGGCCCTCAGGGGAGAGAACCCTGGGCAACGACTGGGACTTCCTTTTGTTTTGCGGGTTCAGCACACGCTGTCCTTCAATGAAGGGGTACAGGTCCTGGAACAACTTCTCCCCGTCGCCATCCGACATCTGCCTCCCTATTTTCCTCGGCTGGTTCCAGCTGTCGAGGCTTACATTCTGCCACTTGGCGGCACCCGACGTTCTCAGCTCTTCTTCCCAGATCGCCTTCTTCATCACATCCTCTGTCCTTCTCCCGACTTCCCATGGACCTTCTCTCGTGTGGACGGACAGGCTGTGGGCTTGGGCCATCCCCCCGGCCTCTCGGTCTTCTCGCTCCCTCGGGCCCAGCAGGCTTCTGACCCCCTGTCCTCCTCTTCTCCAATAGGCTCGGTCGTCGCAGGGCGGGGGCTGAGAGGGCCACGCTAAGGCAGGTTGATTATAGAACCTACAAGACAAAGAGGCACAGATGTCACACGAGAGAAAGGCGCACTTCTCTGCTTCTGCGACTGGTGTTCGGAGTCAAACCGAGGTCAGCACCTTTGAAAAATGCGCTGCCTGCCATGGGACTTGCCAGCTTTAGGGAGAACACGTCCCACTCATTTCCTTATGGCTGGAAGCCAGCCCGCGCTGTGCCCCCAGGGGCCAAGGAATAACAGCAGCAGGCTGGCCACCAGAGCACTGGGACGTGGCTCGGGCTCCAGACACGTCAGGGCTCTCTGACCTCTAAGTGCCTGGGGGACATCCCGGAGCAGAGCTGAGAGTAGTGTCCCTCAGGCTCCAGTATGGGGCCACTCGGAGCACACCCTACTCAGGCCAGACCTCCTGAGTGATTTTTGTGAGTCAGGGAACAGTCTTACCCACTGCTCTATGGCCGCCACGTTAAACCTGAGCGAGTCCCGCAGCCACTGCAGGGGTGGCTGACACTGACTTCTCGGTCTCATCCCTTGTTTCCGATTCCACAGGTCTGGATGCGGCTCTACGACCGGCATTTCTGACATGTTCCCAAGTCCCTGGGATCTTTCTTTGAGAGCCATTACCGCCAGTGGTTGCCAACCAGGATTGCACATTAGAATGTGGGAGCGCTTCAAATCCACGCGCCCCGGGCCAGAGGGTAACGGGGTGGTCAAGGCAGCTGGAGCTCACTCGGCCAACTGTGGTTTATGTCCCAGACCTGAAGGCTTGAGAAAAAACGTGCCAGGCACGTCTGTGTGTGTGTATGTCTGTGTGTGTGTCTGTGCGTGTCCAAAATCCTAAAAGGAGAAATGCAGAAACAATGGTAACATGACCAATCCCCATGGGGTGTTTTCTCTTCTCCCTCTCTTTTATTTGAAGAAGGTCTCAACTTTAAAAAAAAAAAAATGTCCTTTTTCTTTTTTGTAAATTGTAAAAGCAAAATATATTCATTGTTGAAATGAGTGTTGGAAAAATAAAGCAAAGTAAGGAAAACAAAAAGTACCTGTAATCCTTCTACCCAGAGATAGCTACTTTGATATGTATCTTCTACTCTGCAGGATATGGGCATACAGGTTTTAGACGGCCCTTGGCATCCTACAGGTACCTGGTCTTGGGCTCATTTCCTGCATGTCATACACAACGCTGAGGATGGCAACGCCACGCCAGGTCCCCACTACGTGTTTTCTGGACACCAACACATTTATGCTGCATCACATCCTTTGGAGGTACAAATTACTGTCATTCCCGTTTTACAGAGGAGGAAACTGAGGCATGGGAGTTAGGGAACTAGCTTAAACACTAATCTGTACTGGGTTCTTATGCTATGGCATGCATTGTGTGAATTACTGCATTTAAACTTTACAACTATTATTATTTCTCCCTTTTATAGCTAAGGAAACGGAGGTATATGCAGTTCAAACAACTTTCTCAAATCACACAGTTGGTAAGTGGTTGGAAAAAGAATTCAAATCCAAGAACTGTGAACATAAAGCCCCTCATTTAAACACCATTAAACTTTCTCCAATGAAATAATAAATCCTTGAAATGTTTAGCATTATTTCATTTTTTAAAAGATTTATTTATTTATTTAATCCCATTTGCTATTATTATTTTTTAATTTGACCAGATAGAGACAGAGAAAGGGAAAGCGAGAAAGCAAGCTGCCAGGTCTAGGACCTGAACCGCAGTCGGCTACGTGAGAATCCAGAGCCTTTATCTATCACGTCACTTGCTGGCCCCTACATTGTTTTATTTTTTAAAGGTTGTATTTATTTTACTCATGGCAGAATGACAGATAATACATGTGTGTGCATGAGAGAGAAAGAGAGAGGGGATGAGACCCCCCCACTCCATCAGGGGCTCAAAGCACTGCCAGAGTGTCAGGACCTTGGGCACACGTGTGTGCACCTGGCGTATTTTAGGTTCACCAGGCTGGGAATCCGAACCCGTGGTCAGCCACATGGCTTCCAGCTCTGCCGTTCAGTGTTTTTTTTGACTGTGCCACCAGGCTGGGCCAAGGAGTTATTTAAATGAATAGTATGCACATGATTTATTTAACCATTGTAGCAGTGTTAGGCATTTATGTGGGTTCCATTCTAAAATGCTTTGAAAAAACATCATTCACAAACAATTTAAGGTCTCAGATTATTTAGAATAAATCTTTAGAAAAGGAATGAGCAGGTGGTATAGTGGTTAAGGTGTGGAACTCCCACATGGTCTACTGTAGTTCAAGTGCCGGATCTGGTGGCTTGAAAAATCATGCTGAACATGTGTGCGTGCATGCCCCAAGTCCCAGGAGGAGAATGGAAGAGAGACTGAGGCATGGCCATCCCCTCTTGGGGGTGATTTCTTACTTTCCCTCTCACTGTCTCTCTCTCTCTGGCAAGTGCACCCACATTATGAAAAAAAAACCCTAAAAAAATTAATAAATTGTTAAAAGAAATAGAATGAGTAGCTCCTAGGGCACATTGTCAAAACAACCACTGATAAACCACGCCAGTTTATAGTCCACGTGTGGAACAGAGATGCCGTGGTCGAGCTGAGCCTTCCTGTTCCTGGGTATTCCAATGATCCTTCTCCTTATCACATAAGTGGAAAGAATATCTCATTATTTTAATTTGCATTTCTTTGATATCTAGGAAGGTTAATGTTTCCCCCCATGTGCTTAGGTGTCACGAAACTACATATTGTGATTTCTACAACCCAGTCCACTTTTCAGTGGGTGGTGCGGCCGAGGGAACACTGAGGGTCAGGCCGGTGCTCTGAGGCCACCAAGTCTGTGTAGTAACAGCTTGCAGGGTCGTGCCTGCCAGGGTCTGCCCTGATGAAAACCTTTCCCAGCATGTGGGCAGAGGGCTGGCTCTGCAGGAGCTCCTGGAAGCAATGCAAACCTTTACTAGTGCAACTCCCTCTTTTTTTTTTTTTTTGGAGAGCAGGCTTGTGCACTCGCCAGACAGACAGAGAGAGACAGAAAGCGAGAAATCACCCCCCAGGGGGGATGGTCACGCCGCAATTCCTTCTCCTCCATTCTCCTCTCGGGATCTTGGGCACGCACACACGCCTGGCGTGAGTTTTAAGCCACCAGGTCCGGGACGCAAACCGCGGTCAACTACATGGGAGTCCAGTGACATAGCCATTACGCTAACTGCTGGTCCCAACTCCCTCATTTTTGAAGTACTTCTTTGCTTTAAAAAGTGAGGGCAGCTCCTCAAATACTGCCCCCAACCTTATCTTCCACCACACTCTGTAATTTGAGCTGCCACTTGCAGTAAAGCTTAGTTTTAGGTTCAAAAAGTAGAAAATAGTTATCAGATCATCGGAAAAGTCATGATATATTTTTCTATGCAAAAATGCATCATGACTTTTCCGACAACCCCAAAAATCAATTTAAGGTGAAGCACCTGCCACTGGGGACCTAAGCACTTCTGTGTCACATAAGTGACACATAGACAGGGCAGGCTGATTGCTTTGTTGCTTTTGTTTCCATCAAGAGCACGTTTTGAACATTCGGGTTTTGGATGCCAGGTAGCGCACTTCTTGGTGGGGTTCTATAGGCTGGTCAGGTTAGAGGCCATCACTGCTGGCCTTCCTGCCCATCCCCACCCCCACCCAGCTAAGCCAGCCTTGCACCTCCAGAAGCCACAGTCCCTTCCTCAGGGACTCCTGTGTAACTGCCCATCAGTAGCCACAGAAACACTTCAAAGATCAACCGTTCATAAAGTCCTTAGAATTGGGGCAGCAGGTGTCATGGTGGTCAAGGCTCTGGAATCTCACATGGCCCACTGCAATTCAAGTCCTGAACTCCGTGGCTTGAAAATCATGCCAAGCATGTGTGAGTGTATGCCCAGAATCCCAAGAGGAAAGTGAGGGAGAAGAGACTGTGGTATGGCCAGGCCCCCGGGGGGGAAGGGGTGATTCCTCACTTTTCCCTCTCTCTGTCAAGAGCACGTACCTTATGGCAAAAAACTAAGGGGGGAAAAAGTCCTTAGAACCTACTGCTACAAGTCTCAAACTATACCCAAAGTCCACGGGCAAGCCTTGAGAATTACGACTTAGGGCAGCCGGTGATGTGGTGGGTGGTGGTAGCTGAGTCCCACCTATATGCCTGTGTTCTGAATCCAGGATCCGGCATCTTGAGGGACATGCCAGGTGTATATATGTTGTGTGTGCCCGAAAATCCCTAAAGGAGGGAGAGAAGAGGGCATTGTGGCATGACCATCCCCAGGGAAGGGTGCTTTCTTGTTCTCCCTCTTTCACTCTGTCTCTGGCAGGCATAGGCTTCCTCTGGCAAATCAAAGGGAAAAGAAGAAAAAAATTCCAACTTAATATAATGTTACAGCTGCCATCGATCCAACTGTAAGAGAGTAAAATCATAAGGAAGTACCAAAACTATCTACTTGCATCAAAACAATCTACTTCGAGGGCCGGTTCCATAGTCTAGTGGTGAGGGGAGCTGGGTCCCACACAGCCAACCTTGAAAACCATGCTGTGGGGGCATGTGGGTGCTGCCCCCGACCCCGACAGAATGAAGAAATGGAGAAGGGACTGTGGCATGACCACTCCCCATGGGGGTCTTTTCTGTGCCCCTCACCGGGTCTCTCCCTGGTGAACACACACATCCTCTACGATGAAAAGAAAAGTACTTCCTCGCCTCCGTCCTGAGGCAGACAGTGAGTGGGCTTTGCACCCGCTTCACTAAGCACTGTTTTTCTTTCTCACGGTCTCACGCACGTTTCCCTGGAGTGCCTGACATTACAGAAGGAACAGGGCCGTGTGGCTCTCGTTCTCCTCACGGCCAATGTGTGCTGTGCTTAGAGGCGGCTGAAGCCCAAGGTACTATCTGCGCATGTGTATGCCATAGGCCACGAGTGTAATCAGATTAAAAATGACATGCGCGGACTCCAACTTCCCATGGGAGATATGTGGTCAAAGTCGTCTTCTCCACCCCAAAATGCGATCACCTCCACTTTGTCGAAACTACCATATACAACT